AAGGAACTCAACGCTGCTTAATGGCGTTGATGCTATGGGAATGTTCCCATAGTGTTAATGCTATGACGCAGCGTTGAGTTCCCTCGAAAGGGAACCGGTTATATATGCAAGATGTTTTTAAAAATGCTAGATGTGGGGAAGTGAACAATGAAAGAAAGAACATTGTTCATAAAGAACAATGTAAAGTGCGCTTTAAATAGATTTTGCACTAATTTAGTTTGTCCACAAGGTGTCAACACTGAAACAGGTGGTCTCACAGTCTGAAAAGAAACTGAAATGGAACAAGAGTGAAAACAAACAAAACAGTCACCCGTTTTGAAGAGTGCTTGTGTGAGGGAATTAAAAGATACCAGATACTCTATTTTAAATGAGTACAAAGGGTCACTGTGATTTTACCAAGTAAGACATGGTCCTGGATCAATTTTGTTGATCCTGGATCAATATTCCTGTCCCAAAGTGTAGTCCTTACCCCCACCCTAACCTATCCCTACCCATTAATTTTCCCTAAAATCAGAGGGTAATAGCACTGATGTTTAAGTACTTCACCCTGGTTCTAAGCCTAAACTTGACATAAACTGTAAACTTGTCCCACAAATCTGATTGGTTGATTGGAAATTTGATCCAGGTTCAACAAAGATGTTGATCCAGGAACATGTGGTACTTGATGAAAACACGTTCACCGCCAAGCGCCTGTGTTTGCACATGCTGTCTAATGAGAGTTAAAACAAAGTAGCTTTATTTTAGCACAATTTAATGGGGTTGACACTCCTGAACCAACCTCCCTGTCTCTCTCTCTTGAAACCAACACGGAAGTGAATTAAACTGCAATTCATCTACTGGCCGTTTGAGGCAGGCTGCAAAAGAGAGTCAAATCTGTAACTTTACAGCAGAAAAAAACATGTTTACAGCCTGGAGCAAAAAGGTTTTTTGATCTTTATAGTTTATTTTGCCCTTCATGACCAGTGTTGGGAGTAACGCATTACAAAAGTAATACATTACAGTAACATATTACTTTTTTCTGTAACGCAGTAGTGTAAGGCATTACTAATCAATTTTCAGTAATATTTTACTCGTTACATGTTCAGTGAGGCTTGTATTACAGTTGTATTACAGTGTAGGCAACAGACTATGTGAAAGTTTTAAAGCAGTCTTTTAGTGCCAGTTCAGAGCGGTCGCGTCTGTAACATTGTTTTTTCCTCATAAATGCGAACACGAAAACTAAAATAAAATGAATATTTTAAGTTCTATGGAGACTGGAGAGCCAACCCTTCCTCATCCGATTTGCGCAGTGTAATTAACAGAATTACAAAAAATATATTTTGACTCCTATTTTTTTTTTTGTCACGCATGAATGTGTGTCTTTTCCCTAATATTAAAAATAAAACATAGACTGATATTTGTCTAATGTTTGGAGTCCTTTGAGGAAGTAGCCTATACGTTTCAATACATGTATTTTCTGAGAATTTTTATTTCAAGTTTTGACTGCAAATGTCATGTCCATAATGCTCCTTAACTAGTTTTGTGGTGTAGGTCTACGTATTTTATAATGTTAACTTCAAATAATACTAATAGCCTAATTTAAAGATAAGGCAGCATTGGATCTGGACGGTAAGGAGAATAACGCTGGAGTTGGAAGAGGTGTGTCGCGATTCTGTAGGTTCGTGGATCTGAGTCGTGTGGCGAATCGCGATTTCGGTTTCATATTGCATATCGTTACAGCCCCAAAGTTAAGTTCTACTTAGTTATTTTGGTGAAAGTAACTCAAAAGTAATACATGAGTAATGTAACGCATTACAATTCTGAGACAGTAATATTGTAAGGTAATGAATTACTTTTAAATAACAGTAACAAGTAATACCTAATGTATTACAGTTTGGAAGTAACTTGCACAACAGTGTTCATGACAACTGTGAGGGGGGAGATTTCTTTTTTACAACTCATCTGTTTAAATTATATTAAGCCTGCATAATTAAGGGCGTGGCCACTTGAGTGACAGATGGATTGCGGCCGTTTGTCTGCTGTCTTACTTTTGCGACACGACAGTCGCATGTTGTCGCGACACCTCCC